GCCGACGTTTTCGCCAACCAGGGCTTCCTGGTCAACCCCGGGCCCCTGGAGGCGGGGCCGCGACCTTGCTCACGGCTGGGCCGCGGTTGCTGGGCGCGGGCGCTCCGCGTTGCGCAGCGAGGGGGCAGGAGGAGGAGGAGGAGGAGGAGGAGGAGGAGGAGGAGGAGAAGGATTAGGTCAGGCAAGCCACTGGGGCCGCCACCCCAGGACAGACACCGAAGCCCCCCGAAGCCCCTGCCTGACATGGCGGACCCGTGGTTTGCACATCCTGCAGTTACCACCGCTACTCGTCGGCCCGTGTTGGGCTCGGTCGGGGCCCACTCCCGTGCTTCGCAAACGACGGGCACTGGGGTTCATTGCTGGGTCGGCGGGCGTGGCGGGAGCGAACTCTGAAGGTGGCCCAAATGCGCCAGGGGCCTGACTCGAGCTCGCCGCTCCGCCACAAACGAATTATGCCTTGCATTCGCCCTCGTTCACCTTTCCCTTACAGCTCGCGGTCGGTGACTGCGCAGTCGTCGAGACAATTGCTTCCGAGCTGCCTCTGGGCACCCCGAAGAAATCGTCCAGATCCTGCATCTACTCGTCGTTGTCGAACTGCGGATTGAGCCCGTCATGCGGCTGCTGCTCTCGTCGTTGGAGTTGGTGATCTTCGTCGTGTACAGTAGCTTTCGCCGAAGAGATGGTGGTGGTTCCTTCAGGCCTTTTGGTCGTCCTTCTTCTGGCTCTGGCTTTGGGAACTGCAGGTGGCGTAGGTGGTACCGAAACGGTATGAGGAACGTGAGGAGCCAATCTTTCCTGATCGTGCATCTCCCGAACAGCGCGAGCTTGAGCTGCTTCAACTGCTGCTTTCGGCGGTCCGTTCCAGCCTGGGTGCTTTCCATCACGTATTCGGTTGGTCGTTCTTGGTGATTTCGCCGTTGCATACTTCCCGAAGACCTTTGCCAATCGTGGTTCCGTCTGCCGCACACTTGACACAACAAAAGGAGGCCGTACCTGGTCCACTCCTCGTTTGCTGCATGCGTGGAATGTATCTTGCCATTGCCCATGACTCGGTCTCGACTTCGATGACCTCGTTGGCAGATGATAATGTCGCCTTGTACTCGGTGGCCGTGAACTCCTGCAGGGCATCCGCGGTCACATATTGTCTGCATGCCGTACAGCACAATTTGTTTTTGAGCTTGACCACATCGTGCCTCGAGGCTTGTGCCGCCTGTGCTGTCCTGCAGATCTTGATATTCGGGGTAGCGGTCGTCGGTCTGTCTGTGCACCACGGGCCAGCGTCAGCTGCAACTGCCAGCGCACGCCGTGCTCTTTGCCTGACATATGTTGCGATCGCGTCCGACTCGTCTGTTCTGTGCAAGGGTGTCTGAACTCTCTGCCACGACGTTTCTGCAGCGACTGTGGCCAGCGCGTCCGCAAAAGTGTTGCTCATGGCGAATACCGGATGAACTAGCTCTTCGTCAGGGTCGTCTTGATGCGACGGCGTCCACTCAACCTGCGTTCATCTGCGTTGATGATCGCCCTCTTGATTCTTGCCCATCGATCTGCATTTTTGCCCCTTCCAGGATCGTGCGCTCGACCTTTGTTCCAATCGTTGACCAACGGGTAGTGGTCCGTGACGTACACTATGGCGAGCTGGGTCCCCTCGACCGCGATCGCGAAAGCCATGAGTTCAGCTCTGGGTACTGTTCGTCTTCTACCTGGGGGTCCGCCATAACACCTGCCGTCATCTGCCAACTCTGCGTCGTCGCGGGTCCTGTCCATGACATCTTCCAGATCCGTCTCCAAAAATGTAAAACGAACGCCCTGGTATTCAAGCATCTTCGAGACAACCGAATCTGGCGTCGTACAGCTGGTCGATATCGAGGGCGATAGGGTGGGTAAGATGTCGAGCTGGTATGCCGCGAAGCCAGAGTACGGGGTTAGCCTCTACACCAGCCCAGGCCTTGGGAATGCGGTAGTTTGTGGAGGTGAAGTCGTCGTCGCCAGTATTGCACGTGCAGGTGTATATGCGATGGAAAACGTATCAGGAGCCAATCCACAACGTCAGCATAAAAGTTCGATTCACATTCATATCCTGGACGTAACTGTCGATCTCGTCGCCATTGCCCGCCAGTAGCCGCCGCGTTGTTGAGCGCCCACTCATGCTATAACCCTTGGTTTGCAAACCGTTTGTTGTTCTTGTCTGATGTGCCGTATACCTCCACCTTTCGCTAGGTCGTCGCCATGCTCGCTCGTCGCTGCCTGCTTCCATCTGGCGTCATTGAGGTCGCACTCGAGGTCTTCGAGAAGCTTTGCTTACTCGATCGCGTCAATATCGCACCGATCATTCTCGTCAATAAATGGGAGTTGCCATCCTTCGCCACCTTGTGCTTCAGGTCCATGCCAAACATGTGCCTGCGCTGGTCTCCATCCAGCCGAGGTAAGGGTAGCCGGTACTGCCGCAATCGGTCCATGGACTTTGTGCCACATCGTGGTGCTAGCCTTGACTGGGCTTCTGTGCGTTCTTGTCCAAACTTGTCGCACTCGTCGGTGTATTTCTGGATGGCGCAGCCATTGATGGAGCCATTCGCTGACAAGTTGTCGTCGGAGTGCGATCGCAGGGTCTTCCCAGTGATACAATCCCGCCATGATCGTAGACAGACACCTGCCTGGTCCTGGGCCCGCCGCCGATCGCATCGCCATCCTGCGAAGCTGCAGGATTCGGCTGGGGGCGATGCCCCAGACCTCGTGGCCGTAGGTGCTCTGCGGCGCCGCGCCCGTGCTGAACAAGCCCTTGGTGATGTTGGCAACTCGGGTGGCCATTCTGCGTAATCGAAATATCCTACCTGCTCTTTGCTTAGTTTGCTTTTGTCGTGATCTGGATTTCGCTTGTGCCCTCCGTCCGACACCGCTGGCACCAGTTCCGGGGTCTACCGTGCTTGCTTGGTGCTTTCCTGGAGGCCCGATGCATGCTAATGTAGCACTGGAGTGGGCGCGACCAGCGCCGTCTTGGGAGAGATCTTGAGGTTGCGCTTCTTGGCCTGGATGAGGATCTCGTCGACCAGCTGGGTCATCTGCTCCTCTACGTGCTCAACGGTCCCTTCCACTCTGCCTACCGCGTCGTCCACAGATGTCCATAATCTTGCAGCTTGCGCGCGCATCTGGGCTGCTTGGAGTAGCGGGTACAAATACTGGCAAATCTGGTACCTTGGGCCGGGCCGACCACAATGGAGCAAGTCGGGGTGATCTGCGGGCCGATCCAATCGGTGTGCTTGAGATGTCTTGGTCTAAGAAAGGCTTCGACTTCGAGCGCCATGACAGTAGGGGAGACATCCAACGCGATGCCTGTGTCGATTAACCATCCCAAATCCAGCGAATCATAAAAAGTGTTCCATATCTGCAAATAGTTCAGCATGGGAAATGCCCATGCCGCGCTCACTCTCGTCCAGGGTAGCGCGTAAGAGCGACGCCCTCAGCGCCGAGGATCCTTGGATGGCGGTGTCCCAGTTGTCCTGGAGCTGCTGCGTCTGCTGCTCCACGATCCCTGACCGAATGCGCGACCATATTCGAACTGTCATAGGAAGTGGCCCCATCACACGGCCACCTCCTGTTGGTTAGCCTGCTATCGCGCCGATGGTGCTGAGGATCTGGGGGGGCCACGCAAGGATACGCTCGGCGTCCGTGAGGATTTGAAGATGCTGCAGTCTGCCCTCTGCTGGGGGCCTCTCGATGTCCAGGGGCCGGATGGAGTCGACTCCTTGCTTTCTTGACGCCTAGTTTGCGAGTCGCATTGCGCAGCATCCCCAGCGTCAGCGGGTTGATGTGTTCATCGCGCGCTCATTGTCGACAGCGAACGAGCGCTTCTCGTGCTGCAGCCTGTCGCTCAGGGGTTGCTGTCCATTTCTTTGCCCACATCTGAGTCTTTGCGTTCGTGATGCCGTCGGGGTCCGCGACCATCGTGGTGGATATCATCTCCTCGAGCCTCGGCGCAGCCGCGTCCTTAGTCCACCTATGTAGTGCTCCCAGGGTTTGTTTCCACATATTCTGCGCCCACGTGATGAAACCCTTCTTGCCGTCCGCCAGCGCCCGTCGTCCTGCTTCTCCTGCGAGCTGCGTGGCGGGGTCGATGATCTCCTGGCGCTCCTGGGTGGCGGGGCTGAAGATGTCGTTGCTGTTCTGCTGCCATTGGTTGAGTAACTGTGTTTTCCTGCACTTGCTGATGATGAGGAGCCTGTTGATGTTGTCGTTAAAATATGTCCGTTCCTGTTGTAGCTGGTTCAGGTCTTTGCCGTGCTTGGAGAGGGCGTTGATCGCCATGGCCTGAGTCTGCATAATCGCCCACCGTTCTGCTTCGGGGTGATGTAAATGAGGTCGTCCTGGCGGTGGGGAGCTCTTCTTCCATTTGATGCCGAAGCCTCTGGCTCGTCCTCGATACTGCGCTTGCTGGTCTTCGAGGGTGCTGACCCACTCGCCGTAGCGCTGCGCTGCGTGGTAGTCGATGTCGGGTCTCTCTTGGTACGAGTGGGGCTGCCAGCGTTCTTTCTTGGCGACTGCTGAATTCGTTGCCGTTTTCGGTGCTGCCCTGGTTGTTGCCGTCGATCGGTGCAGGTGTGGTCGTAGTCGTGGCCGTGGTACCTGGTGCGTCATCCTCGTAGCTGAGATCGTATCCTGGCTGAATTGGTGGGTGGAGCTCGCCGCGTCGTTGTTGATGCAGTTGTCGCTGCTTCGTGCGCATGCTGTTGGGATCTTTGGTCTTCTTCGGCCTCTGGACTGGGGTGGGGTGGGGTGGGGGGGCCGGCAGGTATGTCCAGGGCCTGATGCCGCCATCGCTGCTTTTTGCCCGACAGTTTGGCAACCAATCCGCAATGTGTGGCCCATGGTGCTTCGGTAGCCTTCATGATGGTGAGCGCGTCTTCGTGGCCGTAGGACGTGGCCCCATAGTCGTGGGGCGCACCTTTACCCTTATCGCAGGTGACCTCCTCGGGCGCGGTGACGACACGATCCCACCGTGCACTGGAGTAATCCAGCCTGACTCTGTGGGTTCTCTGAGTGTGCTGTTCCAATCTGCA